GCTTCAAACACAGACATCCTTTCAACATCTCTATTTAGATCAAATTAAAAAATGGCATAATAGCAGACAGGGGATGAAAGGGTTAGCTGAACAGGTTTCACACTCCTGTGGAGCTGTTGAAAAAATGCTGTCTTAGAGTGACAGATGGCTAAATTTGTAACCCTCCTCTATCTGTTATTATGACAATTTTTCAGTTTTTAATTTGATCTAATAAAAAAATAAATTTTACACATTCCCACATTTGCTGGGATCGTGAAGTCATACAAGATGGTGGATAGGGCTTACCAACAAAATTAGTCTTTTTTGGGAGGTGTCACCTGAATCACCTTTTTGCCTCATTATTCCATTATTCCATTTTAAACATGTTTGCTGTATGCAAGGCAAGTGACGCAATCATGGACAGCTGTTTCGTTGTTAATGCAACTTATCAACATGAGACTTGGCATTACTTGCGGAGCACATACCAGGAACGTTATGGTGGGGAAACAAGTGTGTAAAGTTTATATATATATATATATGTATGTGTAAAAGGCCATAGGCCTGAATTTGTGGGAGGAGTTTTCCCTAAATAAACTCACCCCACCTCTACGTAGGCACCATCTTCCCGGCCATATGGACAGGCTGTATATACCCTGAACAAGCTGGTCATGCCCTAGAATGGCTCACGCCAATAAACCACTAAACTCACTATAGTAATCAGCCTATTTCAGTCATTCATAAGCATCACAGTGATGCCTCTTTCCACATACGGTAGTAGGTCCTCTCTAAGCCATTTCGACTTTTATCATACTATTTAGTCCCCATATGGCTAGGTGTCACAACTGACTGTATAAAAGCATGTCAGGCATAAACTTGGGTTGATAAACTCGGTTAAACGACATTCATTTTTACTGGTATATACATTCACCATACACATTCAACGTCAACCCTACTTAGGGCTTTTTCTGTAAAATCAGGTTGTGTCTTTAGATTTAGTTATTTTTTCACTTAAGGGTTGTTGGTATTGGTTTACTTCCAATACAGTTTTAGCACGTTTACAATAGTGCTGAATTATCTGTACACTATGCCCTATCCTTTTCTTCTTTTGAAGTTCACACTGTCCGCCTATTTAAACCCACTCCTTTAAGAACTGCTATCATCTACCACCCCCCCCGGTTATCCTAGACTATTCATTGAGCACTTTTCTTCCTGGCTTCCCCACTTCTCCTCATCTAGCACTCCTTCCCTTATACTTGGGGATTTCAATATCCAAATCAATAACCCCAATTGCACTGATGCCTCTCGTCTGCTCTCTGTAACCTCCTCCTTTGGCCTTACGCAATGGTCCAATTTAGCAACCCATACAGCAGGAAACAATCTTGATCTTGCCTTCACCAACCTCTGTACTGCCTCTAATCTCTCCAATATTCATTTTCCTCTATCTGACCACCATCTGCTGACTTTTGCCATTGGCATACCTACGACCCAATTGACACCACCGTCTGAACATCACTCTCACAGAAACCTCCAATGTCTTGACCTAGATCATTTCTCCACTAATCTCCAAACTCTCATTTTACCTATCTCAAACCTCACCTGTCCTAGTTCTGCAACCTCCTTCTACAATTCCACCCTCTCCTCTCAACTAGACATCATGGCACCTTGTACATTTAAACGCCGCAGGCCCCCACAACAACAACCCTGGCACACCAACCTCACTCGATACCTCCAAAAATGCTCCAGAACTGCTGAACGCTGTTGGAGAAAGTCTCACTGTGCATCTGACTTTCTCCACTATAAATTTATGCTGAGCTCATACAGCTTGGCTCTTTCCTCTGCAAAAGTTGATTACTTCAATACCCTCATAACCACACTCTCCCGCGAACCTAAACGACTATTTCACACATTTAACTCTCTTCTTCGCCCTGCTGTTCCTTCTCCACCTACTAACTTGACCGCCTTGCAACTCACATCACTGACAAGATCTCTACAATCAGAGAAGAGATCTCTCATCTTTATTCTTCCCCTTACAATACTTCCCCTAACTTCACTCCCTCTGCTGTTCTATGTTCATCCGCACCCGCTACATTGGAAGAGGTTTCTGCTCTTCTCCAGTCCTCCCGCCCCACCACCTGCTCCCTAGATCCAATTCCCTTGCATTTCATCCGTACTTTGTCTTCTTCTCTTTCTCCACCTCTCACTAAAATTCTCAGTCTCTCTCTCTCCTCTGGTATATTTCCATTGCCCTTCAAACATGCAACTGTAACCCCAATTCTAAAGAAGCCCAATCTTGACCCTAACTCCCCATCCAACTATCGTCCTATCTTGCTACTGCCTTTTGCATCCAAGATCCTTGAAAAAATTGTGTATGCGAGGTTGACAGACTTCCTTGAGTCCAACTCTCTACTAGACCCGTTTCAGTCTGGTTTCCGCGCTAAGCACTCTGTGGAAACGGCACTGACCAAAGTATCCAATGATCTACTCGCTGCAAAATCTCATGGTCACTACTCTATCCTAATTCTCCTTGACCTGTCTGCGGCTTTTGACACTGTTGATCATCAACAGCTTCTTCTCATCCTCCGCAATATCGGTCTTCAAGATATTGCTCTCTCCTGTTGCTCCTCCTACCTCTCCCAGCGCTCTTTCAGTGTTTCTTTCTCTGGCTTTGCTTCTTCTCCCTAACTCCTCTCTGTTGGTGTCCCCCAAGGTTCAGTCCTTGGTTCCCTACTGTTCTCCATCTATACTGCCTCCCTTGGTAAACTCAGTAGCTCCTTTGGCTTCCAATATAATTTCTATGCAGATTTTATGTTCCACGTAAATACTTTCATCATATGTTCTCATTGACATTGTTTTAATTTCCTAAAATTTCTATTTTCTCCAATATCACTACTCTCCCGGTTTTCAACCTATCCCACTCTCCGTTAAATTTTCCTTTTACAAGTTGCCCTTGCAAGGTTCATCACTTGATACGTACATCACTTCTACGTCTCTGAGTCAGCCCGATTTATATTAGGCCAACACGGGCCGACATATCGGGCAATTACCTGCCAACAAATATGCTCTTGTTACAGGTTTACAATTGACATAAAATCTAGAGTTTAATCATTATTAGAATTTTATTTATGACATAATGCGGTATGGTTTGATCTCTTGTTATATGCTGCTAACCATACTAATCTTTTCATACTTATACTAATCTGTTTTCAACACTACTACCCCGGTCGCCTAGTTTATCTACCCTGAAATTTTTTGCTACATATCTGTTGGTTTGTCACTCATATGTTTACAACAATTTTACCTTATACCCTGTATGGCACAAGTGTCCAGCAGACTCCAGTTTCTCAATGGACAATGGACTCCTCCTAATTTTTCTATTTGGACCTTTAGTGGTCACCTATAGTTCACTGTCACCAAGTCTCGCCATTCAATACTATCCACGTTACAGGTAAGTGGTCCTTCATTGCATCTATGCTTATCTCAACAGGTTAAGTTTAATTGATTAGGTATCACTCAGCTTTATCACACCTAGCGGGTAAGCAATAACTCCCTTATTCTTGGGACGTCAAGAGGCTTGGCTCCTTATACTTGACCCACACATAGTCCACTCCACATACACATTCTACCATTTTAATCAATTTACGTTTCATGCTCATTTACGCTCTTTGTCTAAGTTTTCTGTCTAAAGAGAATCGACTTTTCTCACGTTAGCTGTTACGTTCGTATAGAAGCACCTCTCTCATTCCCCCTAATCTTCACAGGTATACTGTAATCTTGTTCGTTTATCCTCTGTTTATAGATATCAGATCTACATTTATTACTCATAGTTTACAGTCAGGCTTTTCCCTCAGAGTTAAATACGTGCACCACCTATTACTAAGGGTAAGTGGAGTTACTTCCTTCCACCTTCCCTATTATCTATGAACACCTCATAGTATTCTGGTTGTCCTATCTCTGTGGAGTGTACTTTCCAGGTTCTCTCTTACAGACCATCTTGGTTACCAAGATAGGTACTTTAACCTTAAGGGTCACACAAAATGTGTTTCAAATCCTGGTACAAGGGCAGAGAACTAACTTTAGGTTCAGGAGCTGGTACAGGGGGGATAGCCTCACAGCAGTCATACTATCCCGACCTCAATTTCAGCAATGTTCAACTTGCAACTGCCAACAACATACATCCAACAAATCCTGGCACTTACAGAAGCTAGTCATGGATTTATGCTACTCGCACAGTAACTATACCATCACTCGTTCTATGCACGCCAAACAATTTATGTCAGGACATTTCAGTTTTAGTAGGTTAAGTTTGAGCATCCCTCCGCAGGTAATCACTACATCAAGACCATGATGATTTTTTGACCTTTCTACAATTTACAAATAACACATTACATCACTAATTCCTACCTTCCAGGAATATTACATCACTGCCTCACTACTTTTCCCAATCATACTCCCTTTCTTTCCTCATATCCCATTACAACAATCTCCTAAAGCTTCACAAACAGACCAGTCTCTTTCATCCACTAGACTACTCATAACCGAACATACATTCAGGAGCCTATCCAATTTATCGGATAAGGGCTTTCAAGAAACAATTATATTGCTTTCTACATTTTCTCGGGGCCCAGAGAATTTACAGTGGAACACCATATGAAGTCAACTCCGACCTTGTCACACACATTGACCTTTACATTTTCACCCTTACGGATTTCCAAATTAACCAGATCAACCATCTAACCACAATATTACTATTCCTGACAGGCAACATCTGGCCCATGTTAATACTAGAGACATACATACCCATACGAAACAGCTTTCACCTAACTCTGTTGAAGTCACTTCACGGGCATCCACTCAGCCCAGTCCACATTCTTAAATCGAATAGATGGCTATCCCTATATTCAGTTCTTAGATTCTGCTTCATGAATAGAGCTCAGGGAATCGCTCAAGTTTATCTTTGTAAGCATGCTAAAGGAGTGTTCTTTAAACAGGTCTAACCATATGTTGGTTTCAGCACAACACTACCAACTTTCTCCCTCTCCTCTATTTCCATATACGAATTTAAGTTCTGGAACTTAAATTCGTATATGGAAATAGAGGAGAGGGAGAAAGATGGAAGTTTTCCTACCCCTCTCCTCTTTTTCCATATACGAATTTAAGTTCCGACCATAAGTAAAAGGCCGTAGGCCTGAATTTGTGGGAGGAGTTTTTCCTATATAAACTTACCCCACCTCTACGTACCTATGCCATTTTCCTTTATGAGTGACCCCACCCACCACTCCCTCTACTAACTTATTATCACATTATCCCTGGTGTGCCCTCTTTATACAGGCCTACCAACTTTCTCCCTCTCCTCTATTTCCATATACAAATTTAAGTTCCGGGCACAAATATATATATATATATATATATATATATATATTCAATTGTGGATTGCCCCTACAGGGGGTGATCCATGCAATAGAATATAACAAGATGCTATCCTCTCCCGGTATCACTCTCGTTGGGCTGATAAACGTTAATTACCTCAGTTAGCCCCTTCTCTACCGAGCACTTTTGTTTGAAAAAATATTAGTATAACATTTATTTGAAGCAAGAAATGTATAGCTGTTACATAAAAAATTCATGATGCAGCAATTTTGTGGTATAGATTACTTTGCAGACAAATTTATTAATTGAAAACATTTACAGTTATATTTTTCACTTATTCGTTCATCCAGTGGAACCTCATCCATAGGAGCACTTGGAGCAACGCCCCACCAGTTTTTATGTGGAGAAAAATGTATTTGCAGTACTTTAGAGACACAAAGATTGTTTATATGAAGAGGAGTGTTAATTCTGTGATAGGGTTCAGTTCTGCAGGGCCTCTCCCCCCTCATTGGTAGCATGTCATAATGCGGCTGGTTTGAAATCTGCCCTGTTCCAGAAACTTTTGCACATGTCTAGTGTCCTTTAAGAAGGAATTTCCTGAATTTCCATTGTATTGCCATTTACGTAGCAGTGCAAAATGCTCAGTGGAGGCATGCTATTGGCCTCTCTATTCAGGTGTCATCATTGGCTCATAACATCAGGTTTCACACAAGTTTACTGTAGCATACATTATATCCCACCATTATTATAAGTTAAAGGCACAATAATATCAGTTAAATCCCACCAAATGAATTGAATAGATCATTTATCACAACAATAAATTATGTATTCAATGTATGTATTAGGCATTATACGCGTATGGATGTATGTATTAGGAAGTATGTGCGTATAGATGTATGTATTAGGCATTATGTGCATATAGGTGTATTGTATTGTATTGTGTATGTATGTATGTATAGGCATTACCCTATATACTCGAGTATAAGTCGAGTTTTTCAGCACATTTCTTTACATTGCCATAATACAGACCAGGACCGCCGGGCTCATTACAAGCCCGGCGGTCCTGTTGGGGGCAGGCAGGAAGCGTTTACTTACCTTTACTGCAGCTCCTGTCAGCTCCCTTCTCCTCCGTTCCGGTCAGCTCCACTGTAAATCTCGCAAGAGCCACGGCGTCTGAGCGTTGCCATGGGTTACTGTGCACACAAACCGCAAGATTTACAGTGCAGCTGACAGGAACGCAGGAGAAGGGAGCTGACAGGAGCTGCAGGAAAGGTAAGTAATAACTTGCTCCAAGCCCCCCTCCTGCACGGCCCATCCACTGGACCACCAGGAAATAAAATAGCACCCCTCCCTGACCAGTTAACAAGCAGGGAGTGGGGACAAAAAATAAATAATAAAATAATTAAAAAATAATAATATTAAAATAAAAAAAATTTAAATATTGAAAAAAATGTTTTCAAAAAAATTAAAAATGCCCTCACCCACCCAGTTCACACACACTACACACACACACTACACATACACACACACACACACACTCTGCATTATATACACACACACATACAAACACACACTCTACATTATATATACACACACACACATACACACACACACTCTGCATTATATACACACACACACTCTGCATTATATACACACACACTCATACAAACACACACTCTGCATTATATACACACACACATACAAACACACACTCTGCATTATATACACATACACTCATCCAAACACACACTCTGCATTATATACACACTCACTCATACAAACACACACTCTGCATTATATACACACTCACTCATACAGACACACACTCTGCATTATATACACACACTCTCATACAAACACACACTCTACATTATATACACACACACTCATACAAACACACACTCTGCATTATATACACACACACACACACTGCATTCACACAAACACACACACTCTACATTATACACACACAGAATGTGTGTGTATAATGCAGAGTGTGTGTTTGTATGAGTGTGTGTGTATATAATGCATAGTGTGTGTTTGTATGAGAGTGTGTGTATATAATGCAGAGTGTGTGTGTTTGTATGAGTGTGTGTGTATATAATGCAGAGTGTGTGTTTGTATGAGTGTGTGCGTATATAATGCAGAGTGTGTGTGTTTGTATGAGTGTGTGTGTATATAATGCAGAGTGTGTGTTTGTATGAGTGTGTGCGTATATAATTATAAAAATCACAGAATGTCATAGCCCCAAGTTTTACCTTCGACTTATCCATGAGGCATAGCATATTTCACAATTGTTGGTCACAAAACTGCACTCGACTTATACATGAGATCGACTTATACACGAGTATATACGGTATGTGCATATAGGTGTATGTATTAGTAAGTATGTGTGTATAGATGTATGTATTGGCAGTATGTGTGTGTGTGTGTATGGATGGATGTACTGGCACTGTGTGTATACGGATACATGTACTGAATGTGTGTGTTTATATTAAACAGTTTCTTTTTTTTTTTTTCTAAATGTCTGCTCAATGTCTTTCCTAAAATGTCTCTGTAATGGATCACCTGGCACCCCGACTGGGTACCTCCGTTGAAGAATGCTCCTAGCACTTACAGAGGGCTCCAAGCGCTCCGCCAGACACCACAACCACCGTGGACCCCACGAACCGCCGCAGCTTGGTTGGGGTCTCACCGTCTCCTAGCCACCCTGGACCTACGACAAGGCTCCAGGTTCCAGTGGGTGAACCTCTCCTCCAAGAGAGTGAAGCAGGAACAAGCTCTTACAAGAGATCAGTGATTATAGCAAGGGAATATGCAAAGCATAGCAATCCCTTGTAGCAGATTCCCCCAATAAGAGACAGGACTCAGATTGAGGGTGAAGTAGAACTGACTGTACTGGCACATACAGCCTCTTTTATTCACAATCCACAAACATAGTACTGCCCACAGGGTTTTGAAATACAACCAATCAATCTGTACAATACACACAGACACTCCCACACAAAATCCTCCCCTCTGCCTGTGATATGATTACTGAACACAATGGGTAATATAATTATGACAGGCAGAGAAATACAGTATCATAAAACACATCACAGGGACCCCAAAACATGCATAACCCCTCGGAACCGGGGGATCTGGGTGAACCACATATCCAAAATTCACCCAGATCCGTTCAGTAGTTTGGAGGATACAGTTTAATGCAGATTCCACAGAACATATACAGGCTATATGAAAAACAATTACTGTATAATGTGTCCCCTGTTTTATAGTTTAAAACTACTGCACAATGTCTCTGTGCACCAAATACCGGCGAGATGGCACCGTGGAGAAAAGTCCACACAGTGTCTGTGAGTTGAAATGGTCGCCATTCATTGTTCTCACCATGTGCTTCATCCATTGTTCTCACCATGTGCCTCTGATACATGAAATGGTGGCCACCCAGTAACTCCACAGTATGTCCCCAGATGGTTCTTAAAGGCCAGCAGCAGCACAACACAAATCCATTATGCCCAAATCATGTCTTTAAAGGGCTATACATCCCAGGGGCCATAGTCACATGGCAGGAGGCGGGCAATCAGTCTTCTCCAATGCCCAATGGAGAGGTCGGTTTCGCCACAGTCTCCTAGTCTGTATCGGTTTCCTAAATACCTCAACAATCTCTCGATCCCTTTCCTAATTGTCTTCCTGGTTTGTTGCCTTTCCCTACATTTCTCACTGGTCTCTCTGCTTTCCCTTAGACACTTAGGAATCTATTCACTAAAGAGTGATTTGAAAAAATGTATACAACTCGTCTGTTTTGGCCTAAATGTTGCAAGTTATATTGCAACTCACTGTTTAATGAATAGACAGGGAAAAGAAAATAAGATAATTTAGTTATTCACTAAAGTGAGAATTGTTGGGCATTTAATGTTTTTTAGCCTTAAATTAGAAAGTCACTTTGAATTCCCAACAATTCTCACTTTATTGAAATACCCTATTGGAATAAAGAGAAACAGGCTGGACAGAATCTGTGGCATAGAGTGAGCTGAGAAATTATGAACATAGAGACTGCAAGCTTTGGGAAACAGAAACAAAGAAAATGTGTGTATATATTTTGCAGTGCACTGGTTGGCCCTTCTTCGCGTCCTTTTGATTAATTTTATTCATTTCCGAATCAGGTTTTCTGTACCAAAATTATACTAAGCTAAAATGATATAAGGCTAAAATTCCTGTGTCACGAAAAATGTTCTATTTTTGGGAAATATGGTTTGTCTGAACCAAAATTTCTCACCGAGCACCAGTCTAGTGGCAAATATGGCTGAAGAGAAGGACATGAAAGCCCAACACATTGACATGCCCAACGCAAGGCATTTCTGCCCTCAATATGTTTACTGACATGTTTACGGGGGTATAATTAGTGTAACTAGGTATTGTCATCACCATCAAGCTGATGCTCAAATTGTCAATCAGCTAAACATGCATTTGCATGGACAGATGGTTGTGGTATTGTGCATACACATACAGAAAAGTGCTACTCATGATGTGGAATTGTATAGTTTTAGAGAATCTTTTTTGGTTATCAATAGCATTACCAGACATATCTCTTTTAATAAAGATCTCTGTCATCCAAAAAGACTAAATGCATTTAAAAAGAGAAAAGTTTCAAAATTTAAAAATAAAAACATCTCTTTGCATCTCCAGATGAAGATGAAGAAATAATAAAATAATCATAAAAACATAGAATTCAGGACACCGTCTGAT